TACGGGAAGGGAGTGACGGTGCACGCTCGCTCACTTGCTGCACCTCCTCCTCTTCTTCCTCTGCATCATTGGCCTCCTCTCCCTCATTCACAAGGGAGGATTGCCTTGTGGTTGTGCTGCCGCTGCTCAGCTCCAAAGGCAGCTCCACATGCTCCAAACCGGAACTCTTCACCTCCCCAAACCGCATGCCTATCTTCGCCTCATTCTCCGCCTTCCAATCCTTGTACATGAAGTTCTCCATGAACTTGCAGTCCCTGCTCACCAAGAACTTCTTGGTGAATGGGTCCCAAAGAAGCCATCCCTTGCTGTTTTGAGCCATGCCCAAGTGCACGGCCCACACCGCCTTGGCACCAAGCTTGTTGTGCCGAAGATGCTTAGGCACGAGCGCCATGCACATGCACCCGAACACCCGAAGCATATCCACCTTTGGCTTCCTTCCTAGCCACTCCACATAGGGCACCCATTTGTCTGCTCCCACATGAGTCAAGGCTCTGTTCTTGGCCACACACGCGCTCCGCACCGCATCAGGCCAGAAATAGTCGGGTAGCCCGGCTTCAATGAGCAACCCGCGTGCCGCCTCCGTGATTGTGCGGTTCGCTCGCTCGGCGATGCCGTTCATTGCAGGGGAGTATGGCATGGTGAGGGAGTGCCGAATACCATTCTTCTTCAGCCACAACCCAAACTCCTTGCTCAGGAACTCTCCCCCTCGATCGGTGCGGATTGACTTGACTAGACGGTCTTGTTGCCGCTCCACCATCGGGAACCAATCCGTCTTCAACGTTTCAGCCACGTCGCTCTTCTTGGCCAGCACGTACACCCAAGTCATGCGGGTGTAGACGTCGACAATGGTGAGAAAATACTCAGCTCCAGCAGCTCCAAGCTTCAGGGGGCCCACCACGTCCATCACCACCTCATCAAGCGGTGCCTTTGCCGTTGCCTCCGAACTAGGGAACAGAAACCGGGTGAACTTGGCTTGAATGCACGTCGGGCAGCCAAGCACCTCATCGGGCTCCCCCTTCACACGTATGTCAGCAACCATCTCATTCTTCACTAGCTGCTGCAAGATGGGCAGGGCCACATGCCCCATGCGCCGATGCAAGGTGAGCCAATCACACTCCCCCGTAGCCGAAGTTGGATTGGAGAATGCCGCGCTCGCAATAGCGCCCCACATACTCTCTCCGTAGTCCTCCTCCGCTGCTGCCTCTGGGTTCTCCTCACCCTTTTGCTGCTCCTTGGTTGCTGCACCACTCTCCTTAGGTTCACTGAACTTGCTGGTCCCTCCAGGTTTGCTCTTCTTGAGCTCATTCTCCTTAGCGCGACCGTTCGCGCCATCGTCGCTACCGACCGCTCCATCCTTGGTGCTGATGCTTGCTGCCACTTGCCTCTCCTTAGGCATAGGGACCACTGGGATCTGCCACATCTCGTTGTAGACATCCCTGTCCTCATGAAGGTCCCAAAGAATTCGATCGCCAAGCCTTGCGGTGTAGGTCTTGGCTCCCTTCGAGTTCGTGTCCATGCCGGCCTTTGCCAACCGCCGCACGGAAATCAGGTTTGCAGCAAGGCTGGGCACCCAAAGCACGTTCTTGAGGCCCACCATCTTCCCATCAGCACCCTTGAACATGGCCTTGCCCATGCCTTTCACCTCTGCTCGCTGCCCCGAAGCCGATGTGACATGCTTCACCGGTGACGGCTCGAGTTCGGTGAGCAAGTCCGGGCGAGGTGTCATGCTATAGGTAGCGCCACTATCAATCACCCAATAGTCCAGGGGGTGTAGGGTCACCTTCCCCACAGCTGCTGGCTCCTCAAAGCCTTCATCCTTCTCTGGACCAGCCGGTACTTGCGTCGACACGAAGTAGAATAGACCCGGGTATCGATCGTCGCTCGGGTCCTTGTCGTTGTCTCCGCTCTTCATGTTTGCAGCTCCGCCACCGCGACCGCCACGGCCTCCACGGCCTCGTCCTCTCCCTCCTCCTGCTCCTCTACCCTCTTGGCCTTGAGCAGGGGTCCAACCATCAGGGAGTTTGTAGCAATCGCGCCACATGTGTCCGCTCTTGTGGCAATAGTGACACTCGCCGTCGAATCGGCCGCGACCGCGTCCGTAGCTCTTGTCGTCGCTGCCGTAACCGCCACTCCTGCGGCCTCCGCCGAAGTTGCTGCCACCAAACCTTCCTCCCCCTCGTCCTCTGCCTCTTCCTCGACCATATCCACGGCCGATGCTCGCTGCCCCAGCGCCATCCGCACTCGCCAACTCACGGCGGCGGAAATCCTCTTGAAGGATAGCTCGCTTCACGTCTTCAAGCGAGAGGCGGGGCAAGTCGCGATTAAGGTTGATGATGAGCGAGGACCATGACTCTGGGAGTAAGGCCAGCAACTTGGTCTTCTTTTGGAGCTCACTGTAGTTCAAATCAGCTCCCTCAAGCCGCGTCAACAAGTCGAAGAATTTCTGCACCCCTTCTTCAACCGCTTCGTCTTCTTCAATTCGTAGTGCCGCCATTTGCCGTTCCAACACCACCGCTACCGCCGCTGTTGCAGGAGCATGTACACCCTTGAGAGCAGCCCATGCCTTTGGTCCTTTCTCTGGTTCACGCTGGAATGGCTTGATGTGACGGATCTGACTGCTCCCCAACGCTTGCCCAAGTAAGAGATAGCCTTGTGCGCTCTTCCGCACCCACGGGCTCTTCTCCGGGTCGTTCTCGGGGCGCTTCTCCGTTCCTTCCATCACCTCCAGCAGGTCATAGTGGTCAAATATGTTCTCCATCTTGAAGGACCATTCAGCAAAGTTGTCACCGTTGAACTTGTCAAGCCCAAACACCCTAGGCTCATCCCTAGGTGGGCCAAGACTTGGTTGCATGGGCGCCATGGCTGAATCACGGGGTTGGCCTTGAGCTTGGGCTTCTCCACTGCCACCAGCACCTCTGCCACCCCTTTCCTCAGGTCCAGACATTGTCGAAACTGCTCCAAGGGCTCTGATACCACTTGTTATAGTCACAATAGGCTTGAATGTGCCTAAAACGAAAGATAGAGAGCACAGACGGATTTCTGCACAGCGGCTTCAAACGTTGATAGCGTTCTGCTCACAGCTGCAAATGACTTGATTCAAATTGGATCTGGAGCGTCTTCATGTCGTCTACAATTAGCAATTTAGATTGCACGATTTGATGAAGAATTGACGACACAGCGTCGGTTTGAACGAACGGTACTATGGCAGCCACTATAGTCTTAGAACACAAGATAGGAAGAGTTACGAGTTGGGAATGACTCCCAGCTCCTACAAACCCCAAGGGCCGAGGTACAGTGATGTGGAACAGTGCCACACTGTCCCCAACCACGAAGGGTCTCGAAACTACCCTTCACTAGGGCCTACACCAAGTGAAATGTTACACTACACCAAGTAATGTAACTATCTTCAATATCTTGAGGTGTACCCTTTTTGGCGAGCTTCGAAATCACTTGAGGCTTGACACCAAGGCTCGGGCTCTTCATCACAAACTCATCCTTGAGTTCTTGATGGGTCTGCTGCACACACCTGCGACACGCCGAACGTTCGACACAGGACAAAATAGAAACCGCGCACGACAAAATAGAAACCGCGCGCGAGACACAAACGACCGCGTAACACGCGTCTAGCGATAACTCGCTATTGACTCGACACACACACTCGACATCATGACTCAACATTCACACACAATTATAAGCATGAAATATATATTATCCCATGCCCTCATACCATTCCATACACACACACATTCACGCACACGGACAACAAGCCGAGTGCAAACCGTAGGGTTGCACCAACAGCCCTCACTATTTCCGTGATTCGCGTCCTCTGTTTTTCTCTTGCCTACCCACCTGTTCGCCTATGCTTGCCCTCTCAGTGTCCTTGTCATGTCCCCCCGTGTCCTCCTCTCCCGCCGTGTCCTCCTCTCCCCCCGTGTCCTCCTCTCCCCCCGTGTCCTCCTCTCTCCCCCTTGTCCTCCTCTCTCCCCAGTGCCCTCCCTTCTCCCTTCTCTTTCCCTCATGTACCATCCTCCTTTCCCTTATTTCCCCTCTCCAACCCCTCATTTCCTACCCTCTTTCCCTCTGTTTCCCCCTTTTCTTCCCCGTTGCTCTAGGTTTTCCCCCTTGCGCCTTCATTTCCCACTCTGCTTCCCCTCTTTCCCCCCCTGCTTCCCCCCATTCCCCCACCTCCTTCCCCTCGTTCCCTCCCCCTCCCCTCCCCCCCCCCCCCCCCCCCCCCCCCCCCCCCCCCCCCCCCCCCCCCTGCTCTCCCTTTCCCACCATCGTGCCCACTCAGTTTCCGTGTTGCTTGTCCCTGTTTCTCCCGCCCCCCCGCCCTTCTCCCTTGTGAGCTTTTCTTTGCAGCATGGAGCAACAAAGTACAATATGATTTTATTTTAGGCTACTGTGTGCCCTCGTGCCATCCGACGGCACATTACAACACATTGATACTGTACTCAAGTTTAGGTTCATGCTGCTGTCATGACAGCCTCTTAGTATTGTGTGTAGCCCTTTTAGAACCATATCCAAGTCAGGCGACAAGATGTGAACCTTTTAGAACCATTGTATGAGATGTAAATACACATTATAAAAGCATGCAGTATCAAGAAACAAGCTCGAGCCTTTGCTCCGTTTGAATCTGCTGGCGGTCCCTTTACGTGATGTAGCTCATCTGCGCCTTTGAGGTGATGAAAGCAGATGCAAGGTGAGGCGACACGCACGTCCATGCAGTTTGTCTGAGCCTTGCGCCTTGCTCGTCTAGGATGGTGAGGGGATGGGGCAGGGCGGAGCGAGGGGATGGGGCAGGGCGGAGTGAGGGGATGGGACAGGGCGGAGAGAGGGGATGGGACAGGGCGAAGTGAGGGGATAGGTCAGGGCGGAATGAGGGGATGGAATAGGGCGGAATGAGGGGATGGGACAGGGCGGAATGAGGGGATGGGACAGGGCAGAGAGGGGGCATAGGATAGGGCAGAGACGAGTGAGGACAAGGAAGGGAGGTGATGTTACACCCCCGGAATAGGCACTGCGGCGGAAAGGGGGAGAGGCACTGTGACGGCGTGGGGAGAGATGAGAGGCGAGGGAAGAGGCGTGGCGAGAGTGACGGGAAGGGCGCTGTGACGGCGAGGGGAGAGGCGGCGCAGCGATGGCGACAAGAGAAGCTGCGACGGCGAGTGGAGAGGCGCATCCGAAGGTAAGGAGAGAGGGGGGTGAGGGCGATGGGAGAAGCTCTGCGACGGCGAGGGGCGTGCACTGTCCGAGCGAGATATGCGCTGTTCTGGCTGACGAGAAATCCCCTGTGGCGCGTGGGGAGGGGTCCTCTCAGGTGGAGTTTGTAAGGAGGAAAGGGGGAAGGAGGCAGAGAGGGGAAAAGAGGCAAAGGGATTAAGGCAGAGAGGGGAAAGGGGGAAAAAGGGTGAAAGTGGTGGTGGCAGTGGTGGTGAGAGATTGGCAGATGAGGGACGAGATCCAGTGACTGGTTGGGCAAGGAGGCTCAAGACTGACCAGAGACGGGGATGACTCAGAAGCGGGAAGAGGGAAGGTCGGAAGGGGTCGCTGACTCGGGGAACACAGTACCAATGGAGCGAGAGTGGGGCTACGTGAGCAAGTGAGGAAGCACACTGACGGAGCACGCAAGGCAGTGACGAAGTGGGTACGACAGGGAGCACACGTACGGAGCATGCAGGGCAGAAGGAGCATGCGACGACGCCCTATCCGTCACCGATGCCAACTGGGACACCACTCTTTCCACGCTGTACTCTCCTCTCCACCCTGCTGCTGATGTGGCTGATGTTGCTGATGGACCAAGAATCTGTGAACGCCCCCTGACTGCATGCTCCCTGCTCCAGTAACGTTTGGACACGTGTGAGGAGGAGAAGCTGCAGGCGGGCCCTCTAAGCCTCCTGGCCTGACGGCTTCTTTGGCAGTCTCCTCGTCAGGCAAGCCAGAAGATGGCGATGAGGAGCAGCCTAAACGGATAAGGGGTGGGGGTGGGAGGGAGGAGGGAGGGAGGGAGGGAGGGAGGGAGGGAGGGAGGGAGGGAGGGAGGGAGGGAGGGAGGGAGGGAGGGAGGTAGGGAGGGGCCTATGTTAGGAGACCTCATAAGAATTTGCCATAAGAGAAGAAGAGTGGAAATTTGACGGTACGCAGTGTAGGCGGAAATGGAGGGGGAGAGCGAGAGGAGGGGGAGGGCGGCGTCTAGCGAGGGGAGTGGCGCGGAGAGGAAGAGCGGGTCGAGCAGGGCGTGGCGGGCGGAAAGGGGAAGTACTGGCGCCGCCCCTGGAGGGAAGAGGGGGGAGGGGAGGGGGAGGGAGGAAAAGGTGAAGGGAGCAGGGAGGGGTGAGGAACGGGAATGTGATGCGGAGGCGAGGCGGTGATCAGGAGAGGAAAGGGAAGAGAGAGGCCGAAGGAGAGAAGACGGGAGAGAGGCAGGAAGAACAAGGGGACTGGTGTGGTACAAGGGGAGCAAGATGAAACAGCTTAGGGAGAGATGGGGGAGAAGAGGGAGCAAGGGAGGTAACAGGAAAAACGAGGGCGAGAGCGAGAGAGAAAACGATGAAGAGCAAAGAAAGGTGAGTGTGAGAGAAGAAGGGGAGGAGGAGGGAAGAGAGAAACAGGAAACGGTCTATTCGTCATACGGACGGAGCAGAAGCAACTACGAGAGGGCCACGAGGTGGTCCGATAACAGCACGCACAGCACGCGGAGAGGTGACATCCATCGGTGCCTTCGCTTCTGTCGCAGCGGCGTCTCTCACGCCCGTGAAGAGCCTTTCATCTCCGATTCCGTCTATTGCGCTGCTCGCACGATCCGCTTCTACTGTCGACGCTACAGCGCGCACGTCTGGTGCCAGCAAAGCGGTGACAGCTGTTTCAACGGCTGCAACGAGCAGCCGCGTTTAGGCTCCCCTCAAATCGTGAGAGGAGCCGAACGGCTTCCTCCTTCTCGTCAAATCGCTGCTCTTGCTGAGCTGTAAAGACATCGACGGGATCTGATCGAGTGCTACTCAACTGGGAGCTGTCGTCCAGTCGAGTCGCCATGCGAGTCGCCATCACCATCGAGCCAATTATGCTGCTCCATTGATCAATTTCCTATCGTCGCTATTATATTCAGTCGTATTTTCACAGCGCCTGAAAAGACTACCTCGCTATAGCGGGCGAGATAAACACAGGGTGGGCGCGTTTGATGGCCGTAACCCTAAGGCCCGCTTTTGGCGACGGCGTAACTGTGCTACTCTCGCTGTCTAGTTTATCGATTGCCTGCACTAATGCTCTGATGTTGGCGGTGCGGTAGAGTTGTGGTTGCTAGCTGTTACTTGCTTGCAATTTGTATGCCGTGGTTGTTATAAGCTGTGAAAGGAAAGAGTGCGCAGAACTCAATAATGCGGAAGTGATTACAACGTCTGAATGAACAACGAGGCCTAGGCACAATATAGCAAGGCTAGCTAGGCCGAGGTCGCGGGGTCGCGAGATGGTTGGGTGCAGGTTCGGGGTTGGAAAACCCGAAAGCGACGCGGTGGTGGCTCGGAAGGCGAGGTCGGTGGGCCGAGCCTGGTTTTCCGAAAGTCGGGGTTGTACGCGTACAGTGTGACCCAGTAAGGAATCCGGAAAATTCCTTACACTACCCCCCCCTTTAAGAAAGGTGGTGAATATCCGAAACACCTCGGCGGGCCAGGTAAACGTCCAAAACCGGGTGTCCCAGTAGCGAATCAGCAGCGACATACGTGTCGTCCTCGCTCGTGCGGTCTTTCCAGCGAAGCAGGAATTTCACCGAGCGGCCGGCGGCAGTCACATCCACGCGATGGTTAAGAATCTTCCAAGGTTCCAGCGTTGGCTCTGCCACGGGGCGAGTGGTCGGCGCGATGGTTGGTCGAGCAACAGCTGGCGACTGCGGCTGTTCGTAATGACGCAACAGGCTGACGTGGAAGGCGTCATGGATTTTCCAATCGTCGGGCAGCAGCAGCTTCGCGGTGACAGGTGTCACCATCTGGATGATACGGAATGGTCCCACGTATCGGGGCCCTGATTTCGCGGGCTGCGGCAGCCGAAGGTTCTTGGTGTCCAGAAGTACAACCTGCCCTGTGCAGAAGGGTAAATTTCGTCGGTGTTTATCCGCCTGGCGACTGGCCGTGGTATTAGCCTTGCGAATAAAATCGGCTGCTTTCGTTCGGACGGTTTGCAGTTCCGTGACAAACTGCTGCGATCTTGGTACCGGGTTGTCCACAGTCGTTGAAGAGGGTACCACGGGGTCTATCCCGTAATTCAGGAAGAAGGGTGATTGTTTAGTCGTGGCCGACGGGGCGGATTCCAGCATCGGCAGCGAATCTTCCCACTTGCGAATGTCGGGGCAGTTGGTGCGAATCAGCTGTTCCATGGTCTGATTTGTCCGTTCCGTCTGTCCGTCGGTTTGCGGGTGGTATGACGACGAAAACTGCAGGCGGGTACCGTACTGTGCCCACGTTTCCTGCCAGAACTTCGACGTAAATTTCGGATCACGATCGCTGATGATCGCCGAAGGTAACCCGTGTAGGCGTACGACGGTGGAGATGAACAGTTTGGCTGTATCTTCGGCTGTGATCGTCGTTCGGCATGGGGCGAAATGCGCCATCTTCGTTAGGCGATCGACGACGACCAACACCGAGTCGTTGCCACTTGTGCCAGCTGGGAGCCCCGTGACGAAATCCATCGTCACCTGTTGCCACGGTCGTTCGGGTGGCGCGAGGGGTTGCAGCAGTCCGGCTGGCCTTTGTCGCGACGACTTCATTGCTTGGCAGGTCGGGCAAGTTGACACGTAGCGCTGCACATCGGTCTGCATGTCCGGCCAGTAATAATTCCGCTGCAGCAGCTTCAGTGTCTTGTCGGTGCCGAAATGCCCGGAGAGGTTGGAGTCGTGAACCTCCTGCGTCAGCAGCTCCCGTAAAGGCTGGTATGCTGGTACCCAAATCCGGTTCGTACCGGTTTTTAGGTAGTATTTGCCGTGCGGTGTAGCAGCCTGTTGTTGCGGGTTCCGAAAAAACCTGTCGATCTTGTAGCCGTGGGTGAATAGTCCTGTTAGCATCGGGTTGGTGTGGGCGATTAGTACTGCCGCGTTTTGCATGGATGGTCGGGTAAGGGCGTCGGCGATGTTGTTGGCGCCCTTTTTGTACGTGATGGTGTACCGGAAATTGGATTCGAGGAAGTCCAACCACCGGATTTGTCGCGGGTTGAGTGTCGGTTGCGTGCGCATGTACTGTAGCGATTTATGGTCGGTCCGAATCGTCACGTCGGCTCCTGTGAGGTAGCAGCGCCAGACGCGAAATGCATGGACGATGGCCAGCATTTCTTTGTCGTGGACTGGGTAGTTGCGCTCAGGTGGCTGCATCTTGCGTGACTCGTAGGCGATGGGTTGCAGCCCTTGGCCGAAGTCCTGTAGCAGGACGGCGCCGACGGCGAAATCGCTGGCGTCCGTGACGACTTCGAACGGTCGAGATGGATCGGCGAGGCGGAGTACCGGGGGTGAACCCAAAATGTTTTTGAGGGCGTCGAAGGCGGATTGCTCCCTCTCCCCCCACCTGAAATCGCTGTCGTGGTGCAGCAGGTCGGTCAGCGGCTTGGTTATCCCTGCCATATTGGGTACAAAACGACGAACGTAGTTAACAAACCCCAGAAAACTTTGCAAATCAGGGATATTAGTAGGCGGCTTCCACTGAACGATGGCGTCCACCTTACGCGGGTCGATTTTAATCCCTTCGCCAGAAACCACATGCCCCAAAAACTCTAATTCCGGCTTCAGGAACTCACACTTAGACCCCTTTGTAATTAGCCGATGCCCCTGTAAACGCCGGAACACCTCCTCTAAACCCCGCAGATGGTCCTCTTTTGTCGCGCTGTACACCAGTATATCGTCCAGGTACACGATGACCTTCTTGTCCAGCATGTCCCGAAAAATTCCATTCATGGTGAGCTGGAACGTCGAGGGCGCGTTTGTCAGGCCGAACGGCATCACTGTGAACTCGTAACTGCCGTAGCGTGTGCGAAAAGCGGTCTTCGGGCAGTCGTCGGCGAATACGCGAATTTGGTGGTAGCCTCCTCGCAGGTCGATTTGTCAGAATGTTATCTTATGCTCTAGCCTGTAGTGGGGTGCTCTATAGCGAGTACAACCCTTCTAGGGTTTCCTATTTGTATCCCCATTCTTGCTAGTGCATCCCTCTTCTTTCTTCTAAACTTTTAACATGCTATCAGAGCAGGTCGATCCCCTTGGATCGATCCTGTGGGTGGGCTTACCACCTCCTAGCTTCCGCTGCAACTCCTACCACTACACTCGGTGCCGCACGCCCAGTGGCGTGTGGCAGTCTTCTTCCCGCCGTGCGCCCCGAGGCGCGCGGCGGTATTCTTCCCGCCGTGCGCCCCGAGGCGCGCGGCGGTTTTCTGCCCGCCGTGCGCCCCGAGGCGCGCGGCGGTTCTCTGCCCGCTGTGCGCCCCGAGGCGGGCGGCGGGCTTCGGCCCCGTCAACCGTCGCGTCGCCCTCGGGAGGCGCCGCGACGGGCGACGGGGACCCGTTCGTCGCCCCCCGTCGCCCGTCGTGGCCTGCGCGCGGCCCGTACAGGCAGCGCGCGACCCGTACGGGCTGCGCCAGGCCCGCGCGCGACCCGTACGGGCTGCGCGAGGCCCGCGCGCCACCCGTACGGACTGCGCCAGGCCCGCGCGCGGCCCGTACGGGCGGCGCCAGGCCCGCGCGCGGCTCAGGCCGCCTACGCGCGGTTCGGGCGACCCTACCAGGCCCGTGGTGGGCCCGCTCCTTGCTGCCCCTGCCCTCCCTACTGTCCCCCAGCGCTTCTACTCGTGCCCCACCCCTCCTACTCCCCATTCTCCTGTATTAGGGTTTGGGGGTGCGGGGTATGGGGGTGCACCCACTGTGTACTGTTCCCTGCTCCTCCTCCTCCTCCGTCTCCCTGTGCTGCAGCTGCCGCTGAGGGGGGGTGGACGTGTTGGAGCCGGTGGAGTGGTACTAAGGGGGGGTGAAGGGGGAGTGGAGCTAGCGGTGTAGCAGCGGGTATGTGCCAGGGGGGAGTGGGATAGTTTGGGGAAGCTGAATGGAGGTTGCCGTCGTGTCGCCAGCAGCACCTGTATTCCGGGGACTTCGTCCGGTAGCCCAGTCATAGCCAGCTGTGCCAGCCGCCCGTGGGTCCGTTGCTCGTCTGCCGCTACTTTAGCCGCGGGGCCTGTTACTCCTGTATTCCGGGGACTTCGTCCGGTAGCCGCTGTGCCAGTCTGCCTCCTGTTGCCTGTGTGTCTGCAGCTTCAGCCGTCGCCTCCTATCTCCTCTCCTCTCACTCTCTCTCCTCCTCCTCACTTGCCCGTTGTGACTACCACTAGCTTTGCTCATAATTGTGAACTTAAACTATTGCTTCTTGAACTTGTGCTCAGAATGTGTGGTGACATTGTGATCCACCCTGAGCTTGTACTCCTTTGCTTACTCTGCTGATTACACCCCACTTTGGCTATGGGGGTGTGTCAGAATGTTATCTTATGCTCTAGCCTGTAGTGGGGTGCTCTATAGCGAGTACAACCCTTCTAGGGTTTCCTATTTGTATCCCCATTCTTGCTAGTGCATCCCTCTTCTTTCTTCTAAACTTTTAACACGATTTTCGAAAAATATCGAGCTCCGCGAAGTTGATACAGCAGATCGTCGGTTCGCGGGATCGGGTAACGCGACTTTATCATGACCCGATTCAGCGCCCGATAATCAATGCACATGCGTAGGCCACCGTCCTTCTTCGGCGTGAACAGTATTGGTGCTGCATACGGCGACGTGCTGGGCCGGATAAATCACTTGGCGAGCAGGTAATCCAGCTGGGCCCGCAACTCGGCGAGTTCTGGTTGACTGAGCCGCCACTGTGTCCGCACAGTAGGTTGCGCGCTGGGCTCCAGCTGGATCCGATGATCCTCAGGTCGTTGGGGGGGCAAACCATCCGGGAGGTCATCCGCGAAAATCTTGGGATACTTCCGAATAATGCTCGCCAATTCATCGGGGACTGCCGCGCAGAGGGTGTCGATGTCCGCGATTTTCTCGGAAGCTG